TTTCCATAATTTACTTGCAGAAGTTTTCTTTGTGTATGGATATTTCTGCTCTCTAGCAAGGAATGATCGAATGGTACCGCAAGCAACACGGTTGATAATTTTCCAATCTTCTTCCCCAATAACATANTCTGGTTTCTTTTCTTCAATGGCCAGATCTAGCCCTTGTTGAAAAAGGACATCTAGAACCTCGCCTTGCCACATCCCAAAATGTCCGGACCCGTCAAAAATTTCTACCGCAAATTTCGCATTTGATACAATTCTTGTCATAAGCGAAGATGTCAATGATGACGTCTTGTTGACACTTGATGTAGATTCTTCTTGTTTATTGTCTCCCATATTTGACACAAATATTATTTAATAGCTGACGACACAAATCAAGATTATTTCCTTTCTGATGTAGAAGATCAGACTAAGCTGCAACTACAGAGCATACTCAGACAGAACCTTGACTCAGTTACCAAGATAAATCTTTTCTGATGTGGAAGATCAGACTATGCTGCAACCACAGAGCATACTTAGACAGTACCTTGGCTCTGATACCAATTGTTGCGGAAGCCAAATGTATATAGTGTGAATAAGTCACAACTACTATAGACAACCACCAAATAATAAATAAGATAATAAAGCAACAATAAAGGCAACACCAGAATTTACGAGGTTCGGCTAATTTTGCCTACTCCTCGGACACAACCAATATTTTATTCCACTCCAAAAATACAAGTGAAATAATACTAAAGAGAGAAGATACAAATGCCTTAAGAAGATAAGAAGGCAAATGAGAGGTGTGTCTAAATCCTAAACATTAGGCCTTCTTTTATAGGGGGAAAAATCTTCCCAACTCTTCTCCCAACCAACGTGGGACTTTGGCATTTTGCCAAACTTCAACAATATATAACAACTTATAAGGATATGATGTGAGAATAAACGATGTTGGAATCCAATTCATGTCTTATATTAGTAAAATTTTACTAATAGAGACATTCATATAACTATCAATTAACGAAATATTATGCTAAAACACAAAGGTGTATATCAAGAACCAATACAATATAAATAAATAACACCAATAATCTATAAAAGAGAATTTATCATACTTTTCATACCTCTGAGTACCCTTAACTGCATGCTCTCAATAACCTATAGATTTTAAGAAGTTGAGATAGTCCAAAATTGTTATCTTAACGGACATTATTTGAAAAAGAAATTACTATAATTTGGGAGTACGCAAATACAGTGACAATATAAAAAATATCAGCAAACTTTGATTCAGACATATTCTGTACCGATAAAAAAGAAGAAGAAACTTATATAATGACACACGTTTTCTTATATTCTAAAAATTTAAAACATAAATACTTTTAAAAGGAAGTTTAAGGGTCCTACCTTTATTGAGATTCAAGAAGATGAAAAAAAGGTTGGTTTCTGCATTTGTTCAAGCTGGGAAGGCCTAAAATTCTCTCATACAATTAATTTATCAATTACGCATATTTGATTCATATTACAATTAGAACTGAAGCAACTTCGTAGGAGTTTAAGCATTTGTGTATGTTTACTGCCTTGCTATTTGACTCATCTTACAATTAGAACTAATATTGTAGTTTAACTGCAAAAGAATTTTGGGTAATATTATTTTGAATATTTACAATTACATCTACCTTTAACTTGCTTCATTATACAAATATTTTAGGGTATAAAAATCAATCAATATTTCAAGAATATTTTTGTCGTTCAACGTTTAGCATAAATTATTCGTGCTTTTATAATAATATAGATAGATAAAAATTTCGGATTATCTATCAATTGTCGTATAAAAATACCGTCAGACAAATAAATGTTTTAACAAACTGAACCAAGAGAGAAATTTGAATGAAAGAATTTTGAACGCCGAGAAGTTAAGAATTTTGGGACAAGGTGACAAACTGAACCAAGAGAGAAATTTGAACGCGAAGGAGTTAAGAATAAGGCGGTGCATGACATACGTGTCACAATATTTCCACAGCCACCGCTCTCCAACTTGAATTAATTATTAACACAAATATTTCGCTAGTCACGCATAGTTGTTCTGTTCGTTCCCAAAGTAAAATAAAGAGCGGAAAAGCAACCACAATTTGATCTTCCATTGAAAGTGGTTATGGTGATTCAATGCAATATTGGCCGATCGGCGATACAAATTGCCTCTGCCTTCCGCCACTGCCACATTTCTTATCATCTGGCATGTTGTGTGGGAGTGATGAGAGCTTTCTCCACTGCAACAGAAAACAGAAGCAGCAGCGCTCATAATAATAAGGTGTCGAATAAGCCACCAATATGCACCGCCGACGAGCTCCACTACGTCTCCCTTAATGCTTCTGATTGGAGACTTGCTCTCTGGCGCTACCTTCCTCCTCCCCAGGTTCATATCATTTGCAATCTACTCACGGTTATAAGTGTAATTTTTTTCTATTATCAAAATTACAGATAAAATGTGCACTAAAATCAAATAAGGTAAGTAATATCTGATAATTTAAGAATACTTTATGTTTGTGTGTATTAAGTTAAATCCAATAAACATATGCCTATTTTGGTAAATTATGGAGCTTAATTATATAGCTTTACTGCATGCATTTTCCGTTGAAGAATTTGTACGAATTAATTTTAATGACAATTACAGGCTCCAAGGAGAAATCATCCGCTTCTGCTGTTGTCTGGCGTAGGGACTAATGCCATTGGATATGATCTTTCGCCTGAGGTAGCTAATTCACTAACTATGTATATTTGTTAGTGATTAATGCTCTAATCTTTGCTTGCGTTTCATTAATTTGTAAATGAACTGGAAAATCTTGAGCGGTAATTCATTGCTAGTAATGTTCTACAGGCCATAAAGACAGCGTGTGTGTACATATCATCACTCATTATAAGTGAAATAGCGTTTACTCATGGGGATATGAGACAATTTATGGAGGTTTCCGTGTTCTGATTAGATTTGCCATTACCATTAGAGCTACCGAGTTCAACCAAACCTCGTAGCTTTGGCTCAGACCCTATATATGTGTTAAGAAATCTACTACATATGTACAAATATTACATTTCGAGCCCACTAACTCAAGTGATTAGTGGGTTCGATCAGTGACATCCGGAACCCATAACGTACAAATCCTGGGTCCGCTTCTTCCAATATCCTAGTCAATATCCTAGTAATTATATATTGCACACACTGCTTGCACTGTGATCTCCTTTTTGAATTTCTAGCTGACTTCTAGGGAATGGTCATTCAACTAGTAAACACAGTATCTAATGTAGTTTCCTTAAACTGTAGAGCTATGAAGGGCTTTTCCATCTGGGACTACTTGGTCCCATTTTTCGTACATTTCTGGCAACACTAACTCTCTCTGCCGGAAAGATATTGGTATAAATACTGAGGGTCATCACGTTCACAGCCAATTTTTATTGGAATTTGGATAACTTACGTATTTCAAAATTGCATAAAATCATTGTAAAATCATGGTTAAAGGAAAGTCTTGGTTAAAGGAAAAAAACTATCATGTTTAGTTTTTTCACCCCAAAAAGTTGACGTTCCTTTTACCTTTAATTGAAATCTGCTCCATTCAGTAATTCATGTGCTGCTACGGATAAATTGTTTTTCTATGCAAGTTTCTTGATCTCAGAATGATGGTTCCTGCTGAATGCTTTTTTTTTTTTTTGAGCCGAGGGTCTCCTAGAAACAGCCTCTCTACCCTTCGGGGTAGGGGTAAGGTCTGCGTACATATTACCCTCCCCAGACCCCACTTGCGGGATTATACTGGGTTGTTGTTGTTGTTGTTATTTATGGTATCTCAATTTTGATGCACGTCACTGCTAACTATGTCCTGTTAGCATGTCCTTACGCCAAATGTTTCTGTTTGCTTGAGCTGACACTTCTGAAGCATGCGACTTTGATGCATGTTATGTGCTAACTATTTGATGTTTATAGTAAACAACGTGCCATAATTTCAGTTGGAGTATTTCATTATTTTTAATAATATCACTTTCAGGCATCTTATCTATCTCCGAAAGGCTTCTCACTAACTTTCCACTGGTGCAAGTTAGTGCACCTAGCTTCTGATTGGTGTTTGAGTTCTAGAGGGTATCGTTGGATCTTGCAAATACCTTTGAGATATAGATTATGTAGTTGCACCACAGATGTCCTATTCAATAATTCTTGAATCTGTTCTTAAGAAATTAAATCATGTCTTTATTTGTTTATTTATTTATTTGTTTGTTTATTGTGATTTTGCAGTCATCATTTGCTCGCTACATGTGTAATCAAGGATTTGATACTTGGATTCTTGAAGTTCGTGGGACTGGGTTGAGCGTGCAGGAATCAGATTCCAAAATTATTGAGAAGTCTGCGCACACAGCATCTAATGAGATGGAAGCTGTCACTGATAATGCTAATGATAGAGGTCTTTCTGCATCACAGCAGTCCACAGATATCCAGGGCGCCTCAGAAAAGCATGATGCAGCCTTGGTCAAAGAAGAGCCCACTGTGGTTTCAACAGTATGGGATGAGTCACGAGTGGTGACCAAACTTACACAAGCTTTTATGTGCTTATCAGAGAGAGTCTCTGGCTTTGTCAGTGGAAGTCAGTCGAAGATTGTCTCTGCTAGACTTGTTCATCAAATATCAAAATTAGAGGATTCTTTTCTTTACAAACGGGTTAACGCAATAAGGAAGAAATTGTTAAGTTTGCTGGAGACGAGGGAGAAATCAGCTGTCCTCACTAGCCAAGCCGGGGAGCTGAGCAAAAAGCTAGTAAATATCTTTGAAGAAGGTCAACGTTCTGTTTCATCCCCATTATTTGATCTGCAAGAGCGTCTAACAACTAGAATAGGAGCTTTTCAGGAACAGCTTGGCTTAATCCTCAAGTATGATTGGGACTTCGATCATTACCTGGAAGAGGATGTCCCTGCTGCGGTGAGGTGATACTTTTCCATGTTAAGGGCTGTAAAAGCTTAATCTCCTTGAAATCACACTATCTGAATTTGAATTTTGAAACTTATAGATCTCGTCATTTTATCTTAATCTTCTCTTATATACTGACGAGTGATTGATAATTTTTATATTTTTTTCATTTTAGATGGAATATATAAAGGTCCAAACTAGACCAAAGGATGATAAACTACTCGCAATTGGACATTCTATGGGAGGAATATTACTGTATGCCAGGCTATCATGGTGTGGTAAGATGAGATCTAATTTTATAGAGCTCTGGCTGTTAGGCTGGTGATATGGTAGAATGAGCACTTTAAGCAAATAACTACATTATCATTCATGTGTCTTGTACCCGTGGCAAGGAGAACATGTTGGAGTTTGAAATTGGAAAAATAAACTATATTTACTATCCAGCTTCTTGATATCTAGGTGCTTCGTGTAGACATGTTACTTTGGTTCTTCAGTTCCCGTCCCCCATCATATCACTGTTGCAAGCATGTATCCCTAATGGCATTACCGTCCGGTGACCATGCTTGTTTAATAATAGTTGGGGAATGCTCCAATAGGCTCAAAGAATCCCTTGGTTGGGATATCTATTTTTGTTGATGGCGTTTGATCTGTTTTATTGTTGGCTAAATCAAAACTGTGGTGCACTCATTAGATGCTCTTGTACTTCCAAATTCATAGCTGGTAATGTTAATGGGCTTGATGTTATTATTTAAGCTTCCAAAAGAGCGCGACAAAAATGAATGCCTATTTGCCTTTCCTGGTATAATTTAAAGTTTTCTCTGTGCTATATTAGATCTAGTTAATAGGTTATTAGGTCTTTCTTCTGTGTCAGCAAATTGATAGACACAACTAAAATAAGGATAATCTGGTGTGGTTGATAATTCTCTCTGGACATTGGTGTATAGTGGTATACCTGCGCTCTTGTAGTGACTGAATGTTCTTTGTGTCTAATAAGGTTTACTCTCGGGACCACTCTCATTCCCCGTAATAATTTACTGAAACCATTTGTATCTTTTTTGCCACCGCGAGTTAACCTTGGGGCATTCTCTTCATTTCATTATTGACCATCAATGGGATGCCATCTATATTTCTCTATTTCCAAATACTGATGCAGCTACTTGTTGACTAAATCTAAATGAGTTCTTAAACTGGAACTTATACATAAGGTAAGAAGTTTCTACTAAGAGAGTGCTTCAGTCGTGGTTGTAAGAACCACTTAAGGGTATTATTCTTCCTAGACACGGAGAACGCTGGGATCATTCACATTCATGAGAAATTTGAGCTGGCAATTAACCAGCTCTTGAGATTGTCAAAATTGTAGGCTATGTGGAAGGCTATCATCATCTCTCCATGTATTGCAGTTAGAATAGCTTGGATGATGTGTATTCTATGGAACTTGGTTCTGTTCTCAGATGTAAAATCCCTTTCATTAGTTTGTTGTTTTATATGGATTAGCCAACTAGGGAGATTTGGCAACATAAGGTATATTTTCCTTTAATTAAGTCACGGCTGTGATAAAGCTGGTGCTTCAGAATAGTATCATGTGACAAGTTATCCTGTCAAAATTGTGCCAATTTTCATATTCTACATTTTAGTCCCCAAACTTCCTATTGCAAGACTGATTCTACCTATCTCGTTCAATGTAACGAGTGTTAGTGAGAGCAATTCGAAGAAATGTCTTTAGACCATAAAAAATTCTCAATTAAATTCTTAATATCATGAGATCTCTGTTAATTGAATACCATGAAGAAATGGAATATATGGGAAGTTTAAGTCACTGATGCATTTTCTTTTATGATAAGTCCTGTTTCTGGTTTACCTTTTTAGTTTTCATTTGGTTTCGCAGCTTCCCTATGAATTCGAACACTTTCTTATTTAAGTTTCGCGTATTCCTTCTTTACAGGGATGTAGGGAGCTGCATTTTTAATACATATTAATGGGCTTTTTGTCAATGGATCTTTCATTTAAGTTTTCTGAATTTATCAGGGTAAAACTAGATACGTAGTTCATTTTCTTCCTTTTTTCTCTCACTTTATGAATGAAGGTTTGGAAGGGAGAGAGCCGGGATTAGCTGCTGTTGTTACTTTAGCTTCATCTCTTGATTACACATCATCTAAGTCCGCACTCAAACTGCTTCTACCCCTTGTAAGCTGGAAATTATATGTCTCAACACTTCTTTAGCTTCATTTGCTGTCTTCCGGTCTGAGTAGTCTTAGAGCTGTTTATCTTGCTACAGGCTGATCCTGCTCAGGTTCTCAACGTTCCTGTCATTCCTCTACGGACATTACTGGCTGCTTCTTATCCTCTTTCATCTCGCGCTCCTTATGTCTTGGCTTGGCTTAATGAAATGATATCTGCCACAAACATGATGCATCCAGACTCGCTGAAAAAGCTTGTGCAGAACAGCTTTTGTAAGTATTGGCATAACTATAAAAACAGCTTTTGTGCTTTAATTCATATCAAATTTGCATGAATTTTTATTTTTAGGTCTTCTTGTTTATTGGTATAGAGAATCTGCTTGATATCTTTTGAACAAGAGTTTTGGGGCAATAGAGAAAAGACATACATGATCTAGAGGATCATTCTAGTGGTACTCTATGAGGCTCGCAGTTCGTGTTGCTAGTGTTTGTCAGACCATTGCTGCATCAGTAATGAACTATCCTAGTAATCCATTGTCACCCAAAACAAATCCTCTCTTTGTCAATCTGTTGCACATATCAAATATTTATTTAGGCTTCTATTGATGAGCTATGACTTGTCTCTTCATGAATTATAATGTGTTTGATGCTCGTGCAGTTCTGTTTAATAGATGATAATTAGGTTTGTGATAATGTTTTCAAGAAATTACTGGACAACTTGTCCTGTTTATAATTTGTAGAGATTTGGGAGCTTTGATGATCTTCCAACAGAAGTTTTTGTGTGAATTCAGGGCCATTTCTTCCTATCAACATGTGTTGATTAGGGGTTCCATACAAATCTTTTCCTACAAATTTGCTGATAGATCTTCCTGCAGGCAATATTCCTGCTAAACTTCTTTTGCAGTTGGCTACAGCTTTTCAGGAGCAAGGGCTCCGTGATAGAAGTGGTAAAATTTACTACAAGGATCACCTTCACAAAAGTAGTGTGCCTGTCTTGGCTCTTGCTGGAGATCTAGACCAGATTTGCCCACCGGAAGCTGTATATGGTACTATGTTTTTTGGTACTTCCTGTTGTTGTTGTTGTTGTTGTTGTTTTTTGGTACTTCCATGCAAATCCTCTGTATGACGTTTAGAACTTTCTAAGATTTCTTCCTATAAATCACGATTCAAGCAGAAACGGTGAAGCTTATTCCTGAGAACTTGGTGACCTACAAAGTGTTTGGGGATGCTGATGGGCCACATTATGCTCATTATGACTTGGTGGGAGGACACATGGTATGTCTGATAAGAATTTTTAGCCTCTTTTGAATATAGAGAAAAATGGTAATAAAGATAGAGGAGAAGGAGAATGTCTTAATTTGTGTAGGATTCACATTTCATGTTTTCTTGTACCTTCTTTTCTAGTACTAGTGTATTTAGAGTCCTAAATACAAGTTTAGATAGGGAATACTACTCTATTGGAGTTTCCACACATGCTCACAACTCTCAGGGATGTGGTGTTTTGATTACCCCCTTTAGTAATATAATATTCGGGTCCTGATACTGCAGGCCACAGAACAATTGTATCCCTGCGTAGTCCAATTTTTAAGCCGATATGATGGGACCAGCTAGTAGATGTATATGTATTCACAATCATTCTTTGGATGCTGAGCTTCATGTCATCAGCCAGCATGTTTGTTACTCATCTCGTGCTCGTTTATCATCACTACTCATATCCGAATGATGCTATAAACAAGTGAGATTTGGCTATACTACATGATTTGCTGACCTCTTCATTGCAATGTGCCACATCGGTGAGAGGGTCCATTATTGTATTCCCTCTATTTGCGAGGTGAAATCTTAATTGTAATTATGAACCTTCTCTGTTTTTTTTAGGGGACGTGTGATGCGTGGAACCTGGGGAGAGCTCATGCACAGGAAGGAATTTGACAAATGTGGTTTACATCAACCTTGTAATATCCTTGTTTCTGGTTGCTTCTGATCGGAGTTTTTACAGGCTTCTTTCTTTTATCCTTTATCTACATTCCACTTATTTTCCATCTATTATTTGGTTTATTTGTTTTCCCATATCTAGTTAGAGACGAGGCCAAGATTTGAAGTGAGTTCTTCTAAATCTTTTAAGTTTACTAGGTTTTAAGTTAATAATTTATACATTCAATGAATTTCTTAAGACAAACAAGGTATTGGACCAAATAGTCGAATCCGTAAAGATCTTTTTCGATAAAAGTTGCACTCTCAACAGAAAAGGGCCAACAATGCTCTGAGTCAATTTGGATTTGCTTATATATGTTCATTGATAACCTAAACAATTGTTGATGAAGGCTAAACAATTGTTTAGGGATGTTCAAATACATCCCTAAACAATTGTTGATGAAGGCTAACGGTGAAGGCACATCTGAGTATATTTGGACCTTTTTTTTACCATGTGCACAAAACGTACAACACCTGTTCTTATCTGTACGGCTTATCGTTTGATTAGTTTTAAAGGTCAGATAAAGAAATGATATTATCTCATCTTTAGAAGATCAAGACAATTTCAAAACCTAAAAGTTACTTGAAAACGGAGAGCAAACTGTACCTTCTTACATTTCAAAAATTGGACATATCAGGTTACCCAGAAAGATTTTGCAACCTTGATGTAATGTGATCAATTTGATTCTCAAAATCTACAAGAGCCGCAGACTTGGCGCTAGGTCAAATAGTTTATATAATATTTGGAAAGAATTATCAACACCGTTCTAAGAATAAAATAACGATTCTAAAACACCAAGTATTGAGTAAATTACTTTTAGTATTTGATGGAGTATAAATATTTTATTGAACTCATAGGAAAAGTCCCTATATATAACAACACATCCGGTATATTCTCACAAGTGGATTTAGGAAGGGTAGTGTGTAAGTAGACTTTACCTCTATTTAATGAAGGTAGATGGATCGTTTCCAATAGACCCTCTCAAAAAAGATGAGAAAGAGGAAGAAGAAGAAGAAAAAGAAAGAAAAGGAAGAGAGAAAAAAAGGAGAAAGAAAAGAATAAGCAGTCAAGGAAATACAATAACTGAAACGAACTGAACAACATGACATGATTTAGATTTAAGAATATAAGGTGCATAAGTGCTACTAATGCTACTAGATAGAATAGGAGAAACTATCAATTACCTAATGTGACGATCCGATAGGTCGTTTTGAGTTCTAGCCCTAATTTTCGTGTTTCGAAACCTCAATTAACTCCGTTTAGCGTTTCTCGATTTGCATGCGCAGTCCTTGTCTTTTTTCAAAGATTTTATATGAAAATTTGAAGAAAAAAATGATTTTTAACTTTAAAAATGACTTGAGTTGACTACAGTCAATATTTTGTGTAAACAATCTTGGATCGGTATTTTGACGATCCCAGTGGGTTCGTATCGTGATTTGGACTTGGGCATAAGCCCGGAATCGAATTTGGAAGTCCTTAATTTGATTTGACTTGATTTGTCGAAAACTAGTATTTTGAAGGTTTAAAGATTTCCTAGGTTTGACCGTAAGTTGACTTTATGGTTATCGGGTTATTTTGGTTTCGGGACTTGGAATAAGTTCATTTTACTATTTAAGACTTGCCTGCTAAATTTAGTGCAAAACGGAGTTGATTTGATAGGATTCAGGTTGTGAATTTTAAACTTCTTGAGTTTCTTTGAAAATTTCATGCATTTTGATGTCCGATTCGTAGTTTTAAGTGTTATTTTAGTGTTTTGATCACGCGAACGAATTCGTATAATGTTATTACACTTGTGTGCAAGTTTGCTTTGGAGCCCGAAGGGCTGGGATGAGTTTATGATAGATTATGCACCATTTGAACTAGGAAAAAATTGCTCGTTCAGCTAGTTGTTGATATCTGGTGTCTTGTGCTTCGCGATCGCGAAGGGGAAGTTGAACCGGGGGTGGAATTCTTCTATGCGAACCCAGGGAAGCGGTCGCAAACACGTAGCAGTAGAGGGCTTACCCTTCGCAAACGCGACCTTTCCCTCGTGAACGCGATGGGTTAATGGGTCTGGGAGGCAGGCTGGGTATAATCTACGCGAACGCGAGCCTAGGCTCACGAATGCGAAGGCCAGGTGGGTGACACCATCGCGAACGTGAAGGCTATTTGGGCCGTTGTGCTTCGCGATCGCATCAGGTGCTTCGCGAACACGAAGAACACGTGACGCCCATTGATTTAAAATTTCAAAAATCGAGATTTCTCTTCATTTTCACTATTTTCAAGTTTGAGTTCATCCTTGAGGCGATTGGAAGAGATTTTTCATCCCCACTTCATAGATTAATAGATTTTAACTTATTTTCTTACATTTTCATAAGCACCCGTTGATTTTTAACCTTTAATCTATGCGTTTTCATGATATAAATTAGGGATTTAGGTAGAAATTGGGGATTTTGAAAAATTGAGATTTAGACCTCAAATTGAGGTTAGATTTCGAAACTAATAACATAACCGGGATCGGGGGTGAATGGATAATTGCATTTTGGTCCGAACATCGGGTTTTGACCAAGCGGGCCCAGGGTGTCTTTTGTTGGCTTTTTTCAAATCATTAAGGATAGAATCTTTTTCACTCGTGGGTAGTTTGTAAAACCTGTTTTGAATTATTTGAAATATATTTGGTTAGATTTGATTGGTTTGGAGGCTAATTCTAGAGTGATAGGTTATGCATCTTGTTATATTTTGATAATCTAACAAACTTACTTTTGAGAACCAGATGAGAAACCTGTTCTGCATCCTCAAGTACTCAAGAACAACAAGTCTCAAGTCGAGGACATGATTCAACATTTCAAAGTCAAAGAAACAATAGAGCCATAGAGGGAACAGATGGACATTAGTTCCCCTGCTGACTGTACCAATCAACCCTCACAGCTGTAAAGTCACTGCAACTGTTTCTCTACACACACGCAACAGTGCAACAGTCACTTTATGGGGAATGCCCTTTTACCAAATATGCTTGCATCATTCAAATGATGTCACTTATGTAATATTAACATGAAGCAAAGGAAAAACATTATACTTACATATCCCAGAATTCATCAAGCATTCTCTGAAGTCTGTGTCAATCTGGCAAGTGACTTTCAAGGGAATCAAGGACAAATAACGACATAATGAAGGATAAGTTTCCTGTATTGAGTCATTATATGTCCTTAGTTGTGTTTCACCTTTGTTAAAGTAATTTACTTGTAATTCCTACTTAGCTTAGTCAGAAGCATTGTGTAGAAAACCTTTTGTAAAACCATAAACCTTGTGTTTGTGTCTTGACTAGAGTTAGTCAAGTTGTAAGTTTTATAATAGAGTTATACAAAGGGGTTTGTGATACAGTTATTACAAGTTAATGAGGGATTAAGAGGTTAAATCCTAGGTTACGATAGGTTGTAATCTAAAGTTTGCTCAGTAATGAAGTTGAAATCCAACAAGGGTAGGTCGTGGCTTTTAATCTCGTGAGCTGGGAGTTTTCCACATAAAACTCTATTGTGTCATTTACTTACTGCTGTGTGTATGCGTTCTGTGGGAACTAATAGAGAATCTGTATATAGTTTGGTGGACCCTTAGTTTCTATCAATTGGTATCATAACAGGTTTTTTTATCAGGCTAAGACCTATAAAGGATCCTCATGGCTGCTCCATCAAACTTTGAAGAAGGTCAACCTACCTACGGACCACCAAGATTCAACGGCCAGCACTACGGATGGTGGAAGACAAGGATGCATGATTTTTTCATGGTTGAAGATTCAGAGCTCTGGGATGTTATCTGTGATGGTCCATTTGTTCCTACAAAGACCATTGGTGAACCAGCAGTGATAGTCCCCAAAACAAGAAATGAGTACGACGATGCTAACCGCAAGGCTGTAGAGAAGAGCTTTCAAGTAAAAGAGCTTCTCGTATGTGGTATTGGACCAGATGAATACAACAGGATTTCAGCTTGTCAATCTGCTAAGGAGATCTGGGAAGCTCTCCAAATAGTAACGAAGGGACAACTCAAGTCAAGCAGTTGAAGATTGACATGCTAACCACCGAGTATGAGCTCTTTAGGATGAAGGATGATGAGTCTTATAACTAGGGATTTTGACGCATTTTATACTCCTTCTTGCTCATGCTTTGATTAGAAACTCATACAAAATAGTCCCAAAAGGCTCATAAGTTGTGCTTGATTGCAGGTTTGATCAATAAAGTGACAAGATGTAAAAGATCAGCTCAAAAGGAGTGAAACTTGCACAAGTACCAAAGACAAGACAAGCTCAAGCAAAATAGGTCCAGTGCAGCTGCACACCACTTTGTGCGGTCCGCACTAGGAGGTTCAGAGAGTAGATATTCAGGCTAAAAGGCAATGCGGCCGCACTAGATTTAGTGCGGTCCGCGCTGGAGTCCATGCTGCCGCGCTACCATTCTGTGCGGTCCGCAGAGCCAAGATTCAGAGAAGTTGCAGTTTGGAGTTTTCAAGCCAATGCGGTCCGCAGTCCATTTTGTGCGGACCGCACTAGAAGTCACCGCGGCCGCAGTCCATTCTGTGCGGTCCGCGCTAACCCTGCAAGGGCATTTTTGTCCAAATTTTTCAGCTTAGTATAAATAGATCCTTTTTCCATTTTTAGGTTATCAGATATTATAATAGCATAGTTGCGCTCGTGGGTTGACTTTTCTCAGTCATTTTGGGCAACTTTAACTACATTTCATCATTGAATCTTTGTATTTAGCTTAGCAATTAATTTAATATGTGTTTATCTTCATCTATTTCTTGTTTTTCTTCTTTGAATATGAGTAGCTAGATCCCATAGCTAAGGTTGTGGCTCAACCCTAGTGTGGGTAATTGATGAGTATTATATTTTAGGGCTAAATTGATTATGGGTGTTTGATATTTGGGTCAATTTCGTGGTTAATTGCTGAATTAGTGATTGCAAACACTAGTTTATGTTTAGTTGACTAGGGCTCTTCTTGAGAAAGAGAACCTAAGTCTCTGAAATTGATCCAACAAAGAATTGGGGCTTACTCAAGAGATTGATAGCCCCAAATTAAAGGGTTAAACCTCGAGAGAGTAATACCCGACTTGAACCCTAA